AAACTGTTTTGCATTTTTTCATTTAAAAAATTCTCGTACAAGATGCATTTAGCGTTCTCTATCGGGAAAAAATAAAAGTTTTTTTAACTACTGAAGTCAAGTAAAAATTGTTTTGATTGTATTTTTACTTTTAATTATTTAAAATAAAATAATAAAATTATTATATGCATTTAATAATAAAAAGTTTAATATTTTTTGTACGCTTTTATAAATTTTTAATTTAAAATTATTTAATTTAAATAAATTTTATCTTCTCAATGAATAAATCGAACAAAAATAAAATAAATATTTAAGTTGGCAGCACTATTGACAAATTGTAAATTAACAACACGTCAACAGTAAGGTTATAAACATTGTTTTTCCTGTATTATCTGTTAAATATTTCAATTTTACATAGGTGAGTTGTTAAATAAGTATTTTTATTAGTTGTTATTATCTTTTTCTGTTAATTTTAAATATATTAGTATTTTTTTCATGAATAATAAAACTTAAATTTAAGGTTAATCATTCGGTTTCATGTTAAACCGTGTCAAGCAGTCTAACGTGTTTTTTTATTTTCAGATAAAATTACAGTTTTGAAAAAATGCAAAGTTCATTATTGGTAAGTTATTAAATAAGTAATTAAGTAGTTTGTTAAATTAACAAATTAACTTAACGTATTTTGCTAAAATACAATTGTGTACTTGGTCTTCTGAAGTTAACGTTTAGGTTAGAGTTGAAATGAATAATTTTTGTTATTTTCAATTGAGTACTTTATATAAATATTGCTTTTACTATTTTTTATCTTAACGTTTGATAACAATGAATTAAATTATTAAAAATTTATATTATAATAGGTAAGTTTAGAGAGGCAAAAATTATTATGATTTCAGGAACCAACTCTGTATACAGTCAGAGGAATGTTAATTTTGGATAACGATGGAAATAGAATACTTGCAAAATATTATAATCCTAATCTTTTTCCAACTCCAAAAGAACAAAAAGCTTTTGAAAAAAATTTATTTACCAAAACTCATAGGGCAAACACAGAAATTATTATGTTGGATGGATTAACATGTGTTTACAAAAGTAATGTCGATTTGTTTTTTTATGTAATGGGAAGTTCACACGAAAATGAAGTAAGTTGTCAGTACTTAATTGATTTTTAATTAAAATAAAAAATTATAATTATTTTAAAGTTAACGATATGGTTTTTTTGTTTGCAGTTGATCTTAATGAGTGTTTTAAATTGTTTTTATGAATCAGTTAGTCAAATTTTAAGGAAAAATGTTGAAAAAAGAATTGTTTTAGATAATTTAGATATTGTCATGCTTGCCGTCGATGAAATATGTGATGGAGGGTTTGTATATGACAATAATCAAAATTTGGGCGCCTCATTTTTATTTCTTTTTAAAATTAATTTTAAAAAATTTAATAACTTTTCAGTATTATTTTGGAAGCAGATAGTACTCAAGTAGTACAAAGAGTAGCTTTAAGAACAGATGACATTCCCATTGGTGAACAAACAGTGGCTCAAGTTATTCAGTCCGCTAAGGAACAATTAAAATGGTCAATTTTAAAATGAATCCTCCGATAATTGTTATTCATAAACTCTTGCATTTTACATAATAATATATTATTTAACCTCAGTTTACAATATCAACTTATAAAATATAATTTTTACAATTTTATTTATAAATTATAATACATTCTTCTTTATGTATATTAATTATATATAAATATATATTTAAAAGTACATGTACAGAAATAATTGATTGAAATAAAAATTTTTATTCTGTACCATATTATATAAATTAAATGATTCACTTAGATATTTTATTTTAATTTAATTTCGACTAGTTTTGTGCGTTATTTCCTCACTGAAAAATGATGATAAAAAATTATAAATAAGCCACTGCAAACTCAAGGTTTTTACTTATAATTATTATTTAAATTATCAAACTACATGATATTTTATAAATTGATGAAATTTTTAAATTAATTATAATGAAATAATAGTTAACAGTATTAACAAGTGAAAATTAATAGAATGATAATTTTTTAATGTTTTTTTTTTCAAATAATACTAATTTAATTCATATATTGCATTTTCTTCTATGCAACAATTTTAAAAATAAATTGAAAATGAATTACATTTATTTTAGCGCGTAAACGTCGTGTAAAAAAAAAAATTGAAACGAGTTCTTCCGCTTCCGTCATGCAAAATATATAAAAATTTTTTCCAATTTTTTTTTGTCGAGGTAAACAATTAAAATATAATAAAATCATCGACAAATAATTCAAATTAAATTTAAATTTTTATTTATTATCAATAATGTTAATAAATAAATTAAGTACGCATAGTAGATATTGATGTGAATCAATTGATTGCAAATAAATTGAAAAATTAATAAAAAAAAAAAAAAAAAGAATTAAATAAAAGCATGTAATTTAGGTGTTTAGTTGCATTTGTTCGGTGTGAAAGAACATCCATTGATATTATTCAAAAACTATTATGTTTTTAAATACAAATAAAAACTAACATTTGATTTGAAAAAAAAAGAAAATAATTTGACTTCATGCAAAATCCCAATCGACGTTGCTTATATTAATTTCGGCCATTTTGTCTGAATTTGCTAATATTGTGTTCAAATCATCGGCGTCGGCGTCCATGGATGCACTTAATGGCATCACCGGATGAAGTAAATCACCCATAAAATTAGGATTATTACTTTTTTGTCTTAATTGTTTAAAAAAAGAATGACTCTGGAAACAAAAAGGATTAATTTAAAATTAAATTTTTTTTTTTTTTTATTTGTTTTAAGAGTTAGATAAACGTACTAATAGCTGTTGAGCACTCGGGCGAAGGCGATGATCCTTCTGTAGGCAGATGTTGGTGAATTGATGAAAACTTTCACTAAATAATCTGGTGGCTTTATGATCATTGGATGATACAATGCAATTGACAAGATTATTTTCCGATTCACTTTCTAAAAGTAAATAAAATTATTTTTATTATTGTAACTGATAAAGTTGTCATTTTGAAATTAAGTAAAAAAAAATACAACAAATACTGTGGTCATGGTAATTAAAATATACAACCATATAAAGGATATGTAGTTTGATCAATGAGTTGTGGTGCGCATCCTCTGACTTTTTCAGTTAGCATGAGAGTTGCAGGCACATCTGAGAATGGTACACACCCATTTGCCAATTCGGCTGAAGTTATTCCTAAACTATAAATGTCTGATTTTTCATTGTACCCTTCTAGCGACTGCAAAAAAATATTGAAATCAACATATTTTACTTAAATAACAATCGTTTATTCATTAATAATATTAATTTTAAAATAAACAATGATATAACCTGCTCTAGTAATTCTGGGCTAAGCCAATTTAAATTTACTGCAGCTGAGGTAGGAAAACAATGAATGCATTTTTTCCTTTTTCCACCTTCCACCATATGCACGGCATATCTAAATCCTGTTATCATTGATTTACCATTTGCTGAAACTAATATATGACTAGCTCGAATAGCTCTAAAAATTAATTTTTATTTAATTTGACTTTTAATTTTAAAGATTAAAAAAAAAATTTTTTTTGTAAAAATACAAAATGTGAGGTAAATAAACACGTACCTGTGAATAATACCTTTTTTATGTATGTACGCTAAAGCATTTAAAACATCTCGTAAAATAAAGCATATGGCTAGTTCTGGTAGTCCGACAGGAAAATGATTTGCAATCAAGTCAGTGCAAGACCCAAAACCACACAATTGAGTTACTACATAAACCGATTGATTATCCACAAAACAAAATTCATAGCTCAAGACATTATTATGTTTTAATTGTCTCATAATAATAATTTCTTTCTAAAAAATAAAAAAAATAAAATTTTAATTATACGACATCTAATCTTATCAAATAATGTAATAACTTTTTACAAATTAAAATTAATGTAATAACTTATTAATTAGTAATTTTACTGTAAGTACTAACTTGTATTTGTAAAACATCTTTATGATCAGCCTTTTCTAAATCAAATTTTTTAACAGCAACTAATGTTTTTTTTTTATGTTTTGCTAATAAAACCATTCCTATCTGACCGCAACATCGTCCCAAAAGGGAGACCACATCATAATCTTTTGGATTAGGCTCATACTTCATTTTTAAAACTAATTATTTTTTTATGTCATTCCCTCACTTAATTTCTTACAATGACAAAGCTTTGAAAATATTTTTTGATTTAAAACAAGTCGTTATTTGAATCACTCTCCTTTTGGAGTAGATATTATTAAACACGAGCAGAAGTCTTTTAATTGGACTTTTTGGCGGGCTTTTTCTAGTACTCACTTAAAAACTTTTTTTGTTTTTAAATTTAATAAAAGTTAAAGTTATACTTAATAAAATTTATTTTAGGTGAAAAATTTTTGTTTTAAAAATAATTAAAAAAAGCATTTAAACTGTATATTTAATTTTTTAGTATTAAACATATTAATTTAAACTCTGAGAAATAATTTTTCGTGGAAGTAGAAAAAATAATTCAGTGTAGACATCAGCTTTTAAAGTGAAGTGCAAAACTTTTTAAAAAAATTTAACAAATTTTCAAAGCAGGGTATGTAGTAAATTTGTTTAATTGTTTTAATATAAAATCATCAATTTATTTTTTTTTTACATAATAAAAACTATTGCATTCAGGTAAAAAAATTCTTGACTTTTTAGAAATAATATTTTTTTTACGTTTTATTTCTTACTATAAAGTTTTTTTACTTACTAGGACAAATAATCAATAGTAAATGACATAATTTTATAATATTATATTTATTTTAATTTTATATATATATATAAAATAAATGAAAGAAAAATCTTTCAGTCATGCCATAAGCAATTAAAATTAATACATAGTTTTAAAAATCAGTCTCATGCAAGATTTATACTGAATATCAACAATTATTTTAGTCAAATACACTGAATTCAAATAATTTTTCGAGTTTTTCACTAAATGAATACAAAAGTATTAAATTGAATGAAAATTTGATTCAATTGGCAATTACAAAATTACCATCAAACTACTTGTGCCTTTTTTTGGAAGATGAAGAAGAAGTTGATGCTGAATCTGCTGGAGATGATGTGTTTGAATTTTCAGCTTCCCAATTTCTTCCCAAGCTTTCCCTCATACTTAAACTGTCTCCTTCTTCATATGTATCAACATCCACCTAATAAAAAAGATTAAATTAAATTTTAAAACTTTTCATTATTTCAAAAATAAATTTAAGGTGACGACACATTACCTGAAAATTATCATTTTGAGTAAACTCGGCTGAATCTGATAAACACATTTCCCTGATTGCTTTTTTCTGTTCTTCCGTGTGTTGAGGACATTTTGAAGTTCTAGTACATATTTTTTTCGTATGCTCAGAAACGACTCCACATATTTGTGATAAAAGTGCTTTTTTATCAGCTTCTGACATATTCTCATATGATAAACTTGATACTGATGAATCATTACTTTGTCCATTATCTGAATTAGAAGAATTTCCTGCATAAAATAATTTGTTAATTTTTACAAAAATACATTTTATTTTATTCTATACTTGGCACAAGATTTGCTTTTTTTTTTCCCCCCCAAAACAACAAAAATATAATAATTTTACATCCTAATTAAAATTCTGTACATTAATTTTATATCTCGAATAAAAATATTTAATATTATATACGATTAGTATCATTATAAAATCTAAATAAAATGGAGTAATTTTCATTGATAAGTTATTTTTTCAATATCTGTTAAAAATATTCCTTGACTTTTACAAACTATTTAATTCTTAAAATTATACTTAAACATACTTTTGTAACATTAAACCTATTCGATAATTCAAAATCATAAATAAAATTTAAAATTATTAGAATAGAGCAAATTTTATATACAAATAAATTTGAACCATTATTTATCGACTTCAAAATACATTGCTTATTATTTACTGTAGGAACTTATTTTAAAATCATTCGATTAATTTACAAATACTTATTTCAAAATAGTTTTTTTTTTTTTTTCCCTTAAATTTGTACCATTTATAATTTAAAATTTTAAGACTTAAATAGTATTGTTTGCTTAGCCACATAAATTGTATTAAAATATTATTTATATCTATAAAAGAAATTAATACAATCTAATTGTGTATTATTTATAATAAATTATTTAGTATTGTACACACCATTATTTATAAAAAAAAAAAACAATAAGTTAGGAACATTTATGAAAAGAATATTTTAAAAAAATCTTGACTTTAAATAAAATTCTCACCATTTTTGTTTACTTTCACTAACTTTCCAATTTTTTTAATTGTAACTTTTTCTTTCTTCTTTGATTTTCCTTTTTTCTCATTACCAACAGTCCAATCAGCATCATCTTCGTCATCGCTTAAAGCTCCAGTTGTTTCTTTATTGGCCGTCGTTTGAATTCTTCTACTCGCTAATCTAGAACTATTCCTTCCCATTCCCATACATTTTTCTAAATGTGGAGCAAATCTAGATGCTGCTAAACTTCTATTACAACTTGGACAAATACATTCATAATTTTTTTTACCAGGAGCTTGGCCAAATATGTCCAAATCCAATGCATCTATTATTTTATATTTTTCATCATCCGATTCTCCGACAATTATTTCATGGAGTTTAGTTTTTCTTTCCATGTGAACTTCAAATACTACACCCAATATTGCATCTTCAATTATATCATCTAATAAAGTGTTTGTTGCAGATTCTAAATTTTCAGGATTACTTAAGTAATTTCTAAAATGTTTATTTATTTCTGCGACAAGTTCTTCATCCGATGGAAGACTGAGTGCCATTACCTAAACAATCACATGTAACAAAATATTATCACATACTCTTTTTAAATAACAATAATAATAAAGCATGACTGATTTATTTTTTTTTTCTTTCATTTAATATTTTATTTACCTGACAGTTTTTTTTTTTTTATCATCATCAAGTTTAATTATTATTTTTTTGATTCAACTTTAAAATTCTGTAAATTTATTAATTATTTACAAACTAATAACCTACATGACATTATTTTTTTTAATTTCTAAACTTAATCTTAATTAAAATCAAAGGATAATTATTTAACAAATTATTAAAATAAAGATAGGAATCAAGTTTTTGATGAATAAATAAATAAAAACTTTAACAACTTTACTTCGATTGTAAATTTATTTTATCATTTTTTTTGAATAGTTATTTCATTAATCTAATTAATTATTAACAATCAACGAATATTATTATTTTATTTTATTACATACTTAAATTATTAATAATTAAAAACTTTTTTAAAAAGAAAAAAAAATTTCATTGATTTTTCAAAAATATTTATTATAGCAAGTGTTTGAAAATAAATAAAGTTAGGTTAACAAATAAATTATTAACTTAATTTTTTTTTTTACAACATCAAAATAAATACTTATTTATATATATATTTTTAAAAATAAACTGAAATTTATATTTGAAATTTAATAATAATAATGTCGCTTAATTTATTAATGTACTTACGGTTAAACTAAAAAACTTTGGGGTTAAAAATCTTTGTTTATGTATTTCTGTATACGACAATAAAAAAATTTTATGAACGTGGATGTAGAATAAAAATTTTTTAAAGTCACGACGATTTTTTTCACGTCACAGTTAATTTTTTTTTGGGGGGTTTCTTTATTTAAAGATAAAGATAAAAAAAAAGAAAAAATAATAATATACAATTTTTTTAATATTCTCTCTCTCTCTCTCTCTAAAAAAAAAAAAGATTTTCTATCATAAAAAAAAGGTTGTTTTAATTATAATATTAAAGAAAATAAAATACATTAATTTTTGAATGGTTTTTTTTTTTTTTTTAAATTATAATTCGATTAGGTTTTGAAACAAAAATTTTTTTTTTTTTGGTTTACTATGCCTTCGGAAAATAGTTTTGCAAAATATTTACCATATTTGGTAATTTTTTTATGGAGTAACTTTTTTTTTTTTGCGACCGGTAATTTCATAGCCAAGGGAAAATAATTACCAGAAGTGAAAACTTATCATTTAACATAAAAAAAGGTTTACTATTTAGTATCTTATTTACAAAAATAACAAGATTTAAATTAACAGTTAAGATAATTGATTTGGTACGGTTTTCCTTAAACACAAAAAAAAAAATTTGTTTTTTTTTATATCTATTTTAAATAATTTTTGGACAATGAATCGTGACGCACGCACACGCACACACGCACACAAACTCTATTTTAAAATTATTAAAATTCTAATTAAAAACGTTTAAATTGTTTTTTATTTCTACAAATTTTTTTAGAATTTCTTTTATTACAACAAACACATCCTCCTTTCGTTCCTCCTTTTTTTCCAAACGTAAAAAGACATTGATAATTATTATTATTATTATTATTGGTGACATCCATGCATTCCACCTGTCTTATGTACATATCATCGACCATCATATCTTCTCCTCCTACAATCAACGAATTTCCAACATCGACTTCCATATCCTCGTGGAAAAAATCAACATCTTCCGGTTTTTTCTTTTTCCTTTCCGGACTCCAATCTTTATTTTTTTGTTGTACCATCATTTGCGTCATATTTATTTATTTATTTATTTCGATTTAAATAAATTATTATTATCTTATTCCTAATTTTCGAATAAATAATTTAATATATATTTTTTTTCGATAAATAAATAAAAACTTTTTTTTGTTTTGTTTAAAAAAATTTAAATAAATAATTTTATTTATTTTATCAATAACCGTTTTATCAAATCAAATATTATTATTATTTTTATAAATTATTAAAAAAAAACATATTATTTTGTTTTGTTATTATTATTAGAAATTATTTAATAATTATTATTTCATACCGTTTAATTATTATTTTTATTTAAATAATGTTTTGTTGTTCGACGGTTAGTTTTTTTTTATTATTATTATTTATATTTTAAAATTTAGACAGTTTCGTTGCAATTATAAAAAAAAAAAAAAAAAAGAAAAAAAAAGAAAAAAGAAAAGAAAAAAAAATTAAATTAAAATTTTTAAGCATGTATGTAATCATATATATCAAAATTAATAAGTTATTGTTATTGTTTACTTTTTTTTTGTTTGTTTTTGTTTGTTTTTATCACCATAGAGGTTATGTTATAGTTTAACACAACTCGCGGCAAACGAACGGTTAATTATGGTCGTCCTTATTATTATTATTATTTATTTATTGATTTTATTACTTGTAATAAAAGAATTCAATGTGGAAAGTTGAAAACTTGTAACGAATTTTATTAGATAGTTAAAATAAATTAAATTGATTATAATATTTTTCCGATACATAATAATAAAAATTGTTGCAAAGAAAACTTGAAATATTAAAAAAGTAAATCACGTAAGGAGTTGAGAGAGGGGGGAAATAAATGGGGGGGGGTGGACACAACAACATTTACAAGTAAAAGAAAACTTGTATTAAAATTTTTATTTTTTTCACGTTTAAGATTAATGGTTGTAACACCATCCAAAGTAATTTTTTTTTTTATTAATATTAACTGTCATTAGACTTCTTTTTTTTTATGTATATACCTCGTGAGGCGATCGTAAAAATAATAAAAAAATGTAAAAAAAAAAAAAAAACTCGTTTTAATATTATAATAATAATGATAATGATAATAATAAAAAAGAAAATATTGTGCAAAATTGTTGTTATAATATAATTTATGATCGTTTTAAGTTGGAGCAATAAATTATTTTAATATTAAATTTCATTAATTTTTCAACGCGAATCAAATTATTATTATATATATATATTTTTACAAGTATTTATTTTTTTTATTATTTCTAACTCGAAAATTTTTTTCTTTTTGCTTGAGTAAAAGACTGTAAAATTACGGGGGAGGGAGGGGGAAGGGGGAAATATCAAAATTTTTCTATAAAAATTTATAATTTTCCCAAAAGGGGAAATTTTTTAGCTATGCAATTTCAATACACGAAAGTATAAAAAAACGCATAAGTAAAAATTTTCCTATTGATTTTACGTACGAAAGAAATAATCGTTTTTTCTTCTGCTTTGATTAATATACTGTAACAAGATTTTAATTTTTTGTTCTTTTACAGAAGGGAAGAAAAGAGAGAAAGAAAAAACATATTTGATGAATATGAAAGACATAAAAAGAAAGAGAAGAATCATGAGAACATTTCTCGGAAGAATCCCATGGAAAAAAAAAAAAAATTTTTTTGTCGAATTCGCAAAGTCATTTTTAACTTGATTATCTTAACACGGATTTTTTTTTTTTTTTTTTTTTTTTTTACAAAGTCATTCTAATTTTTAACATGAGCATGATGTCTCTTTCAAGAACTTGGACTAAAAAAAAAAAAAAAATTCAGGTACAAAATATTTATTTAAATTTATGTTTGACTTAAGGGAAAAACAAAACTTTTTATAAAAATAATTTTAATAACAAACAGTAGTCTGTTACGTTAGTAAAATTAGCAACCATTTGTGTGTATAAAACCTGACACATCTTTAAAAATCAATTTTTTATTTTTTTCTTTTAAATTTTTCTTGTCCGAGACTTCATCATCATCATCATCATCATCATGGTTTGTACTATTTTAAACTTGAAACCTGTCGACCGTGAATGCCACATACGTCTATTTTACCACATTTATTATTTTTACCACCACTCATAACTTACACTCTTTTTTTTAAGGAGGTTTACGCCTAAAAATTTTTATTATTTCAACATATATATAAATAACAAATAAATTTTCTTTTGTTTCCTTAACAGCATTTATAACTCAAAAAAACATTTTACCTTTTTTTTTTTTAAAACATTTGAAATGTTAATAAATAAATTAAATTTATTAAACACTTCCCCCCTCCCCCCCTCTCGAGATCCTTAAAAAACAAATAAATTTTTCTATGGCGAAATAAAAATAAATTTTTTTTTTTTTTACGATCTGAAAATGTCGTAAATGTCGTAATTTAAAACAACAACAACAACAACATTATTAACAAACAGGCTTACGATAATTGTACGAAATTGTTTTTTTTTTTTTTTTTTTTTCGGAAAATTAAAAAACAAAAAAAAAAACAAATAAATAAATATGGAGGCATTTAAAATTTAAATGTCTCCGTATTTTTTTTTTTTTTTGTACCCCCGTAACACCTGTGATAATTTTAACGAATACGGTTCCATAACAATTATTATTATTATTAGTTTTTTTTTCATTCATTAACATAAAAATTATTTAATTAATCAAAATAATAATAATTAATAATTAATTATTTTAAAAAATTCTCATTCGAAAAGTTTTTTTTTTTTCTTATCATTGATTTTAATTGAATTCCCTGATATAATTTCCGATGGTTTCCCCATGTATATTTCAACATGTCGATTAGACAGTAATAAAAAATAATAATTTTAAATCATAAAAACAAAAGAAACAAGATGAAATTTTATGTATTAATAATAAATAAATTTAAAAATCGTTGCGGAACCGTTAAAACAAAAAAAAAAAAAAAAAAGGAAACAGGTAAAAAGTAATAAAATAAAATAAAAAAAAAGGCGAGAGATTCAGGTTCATAAATTCGAATAAATGGCAACCTTTTAAATTTAATTAAATAACAACCAATACGACGTGATGATAATGATGATGATGATGATTTCGTTTGTTCAAGTCGATAAAGTTCAAATTGTTTACCAACGATGTGTAATAATTATATTTTTGTTACATCAAATTAATTAAATCAGGTGTGAATAAATGACTTATTATTAGCAGAAGACTTTTTTTTTTTTAAATTTATAATATAAACGTGTAAATATTTATTTTCGTGTTTTTGTTTGTTTGTTTGTTGCCGTGTTGATTTTTCTTACTTTAAATGAAAGGATTCGATACGTTTTTATTTGTTCTCATTTAAACAACAACAACCACAACATTTAAAAAGAAAAGTTTTACGTTTTTACCTTCGGTTGATAGTTCAACTTACTATTATTATTATTATTATTTAAATTATTACCTTAAACAAAATGGCTCGTTATTATTTGAACGGTTTTTAAATTAATAATAATTATTGATATGATGATTAAGTTAAAAAAAAAAAAAAATTATTGTTTTCGTTTGATATCTTTTTTTTTTTTATGTTTTAACATAACTTAATATAACGAGTTTTTTGACTTTGAATCGATCAATCGATCAATCGACCGATCGATCGATCGATCCACTCTTTTTTTGCAACTACGTAACGTTTAACGTCACTTGTGTCCGATTTATTATTATTATTATTACCGTGATTTTGCACTTTTTGAATTATTAATCGGTTTAACGATATCGAAACAAACAACAACAACCGCAACAACAACAACAACGATGCCGATGTTTTTATCTCTATTACAAAAAAATTAAGAGACGCCGAGTGATTTTCTTCTTTTTTTTTGCTCCCGTTCAGATTATTATACTCGTTACAATTATTATTATTATTATTTTTCTTAGCATTTAATCGATTGTTCTGTTTGTTTCGATGAGTCCGGTTTATCGATGTCGCAATTACGAATAAATTTTTAAATCGTGTTGCAAAACGTGGTAGGTATCTATCACTTTGCAAAAGAGAGAGAGAGAGAGAGAGAGAGAGAGTAATCATCATTATCGTGTCACGATCGTTTGATTGTTTTATTATTTTTTCCAAAGACGACTTTCTTCTCCCATCATAATTTTTTTTTTTTTTTTTGGCTGTTTCAGATGTTTCGTATTGGAAGAGAGGAAAAAAAAATTTTTTTTTTTTGTCATCAGCCACGTTTAAATTAAAACATTCGAAATTAAAAAAATTTCACTTGAAGTTTCTTAACCAGGTGATGACTTATTACTTCCGGAAATGGAATTAAATGACGTAACACTCACGAATGATAATAAAGAGATAAATTATTCGGAAGTAGATGATGGAACTTCGGAAAAGATGATAATAAACATAATTAATCAATTATTGGACGAATGTAATTATAAGTTATCACGTTACAATTTCGTTCGTCATGAAAAAAAAAAAAAACGTGGCACTAAGGAAAAGTTTTTATAACTGTTTATTCAATTACCGACAGGAAAAAAAAAAATAAAAGAAAAAATTTGTTCAGAAAAAAGAAGAAAATCGGCATCATCGGTTTTATGTCTGTCAGTGCCTTGTTAACGCCTCCGAGGTAAATTTTTTTTTTTTTTTCAAAAGAAGTCATTTCAAAACTTTTTTCTTCTCTCTCTCTTTTTCTCTCTCTTTATTTATACCTTTTTTTTTATACGGACACGTCAGATGAAGTCGGAGAAAAGGTAAAAAAAAAAAAAAAGAAAGAAGAAGAAAAAAAAAAGGTTTCTTAAGGTAACAGACAACGATTGACGAAATAAGACGAGCGGTAAGGGTCGTAAAAATGAACCATTTACATAATAGTTTAAAAAAAAAAGTTCGCAGGTTTGTTTTACACCCCGTCCCCCGCTTCCCCATCCCCCTTCCCTTCTCTTCTTTGCCCTTTGAAAACCGGCGCCAACATCTTGGAAAAGATGATGATGATGAAAATTGCGTTTCAAATTGTAATTAAAATTTGCACTTCCTTTAT